AACAATTTAGATTTTCAGTACAAATCGGCAATTTCATACTTTAACCCTTATTAATTAGAAGATCTAAGATTTGAAATCAGACTACTACGCCTGTGTCTATTTTTGCTTTTCCCTTTTCAAATATGAATTAAAATATACTTCGGGCGTAACTAAAACCATAGTAAGGTAATTATGGTAACTGCATAGAACGTAGCTGCGTGGCATGTATGTGTGCGCGCCCTCCGTGTGCCGTAAGCGGACCCACACATTAGCATAATCTCGCGATGCATTCGCGTTGTACAACGCTGGTCGTCATACGCGCCTTTCTTATTGTGTGAAAGTGTGCGTCCGTACACGGCGCGCGGCAGGCTTACACACATACAGGCCGTGCTGTTACGCTTGTATGGAGTTACCACACTTGTCTTATTATACTATACCAATACACAGCGAGATGCTCATGGCAATATTCTACTTTATTAGTTTAACAATCGTTTATGAAAATGCAAAATTATTTTGAAAATGAAGGTTTGCTTAATTATTAGGTTATTAAATTGGTTTGTTTGAAAACATAAATATATGCGATTTTCACGCTTAAAATAGTTTCATTTCAAAATGGTAGCAATCCTTAATACCTGAACTTGATATTCGGGCCCTTTACAAGTCCCATGGTCACGATTGACTGAAACGTCCTTCGGTTTGCTTCAAAAAATAAATATACGCGATTTAAATCCGGAAAAGTAGTTTCAATTCCTATGTGTAACAATCGCGAAAACCTAAGAACTCGATACAAAAAATTATAGTTATACTCTTGTGCAAAACCTTTGTCCCTGATTGAAAGTCACGTTTCAATCAATTACTTACTCATTTTGCTATCAAGATATTTAATTATTTTTTGTGCTATGATTCTACTATTTGTTTTAATTTATTAATACAAAGATCGAACATTAAGAAAAATTCCTTCAATCCTTCTGGATTCACAACAGCGCATTCAGCATACTTAGCACCCATATATTGAAGAAAAACTTCCATAGATTAAGAAATCTATTTTATTTTATCTATTCTATTTTATTTTTATAGTAAAGAATTTTTTTTGCGCACTTGCGCAACGGCAAAAAATTCGTAAAACCCAAAACAAAGATCTGCAACAGTCACATCGAAAAATTCGTAAGGTCTGCTGGTTCGCTCCGCAGCTCAGTTAGTCAGGCACGCTATGCTGAAGGCGCTGGTTTGAATCCAGCCGATTCGAAGGACTTTTTTAATGTTGGATTTTTGTATTAATAACTACTTACTGATTTATTCCACCAGCAGCATAATAAATAACACTAAAAATCAAATACACGAGTCCAATTCCCACAGGGAAGTAGAAGTGTAAGATTCTAAAAGGTGTCCTTGAAGTTATCAGGAGAAGAAGCATTAGGACTGAGTTTACAGCGTGTGTGAGGAAGTCTTGAGCCAAATAGTAGGGTGTTCCAGCAGTTAAAACTAAAAAAGAAATAATGTGATTAATTAATCGTTGATGATCTGCTGAAGAAATTTCAAAAGAAACTGTCAACTAAATAAGTAAAAACGAAGACAGGTACTAGTTTCATCATCATTTCAACCCAACTTCGCCCTTGCTGCACTCGTAATTATTTTAATAATAAAACTATGTGTTGTTGTTTTTTTACATTATATTATTAGCTAGTACATAACCCATTATTTACTAGCGTTGCCATATGGCAACACGGTATTCAAAAAATATAAATTATATAAAACAACAACTTTTCTTATTAATTTCGTTTTAATGTGTATCCAAACACATTTAAGAATTTAAAAAAATATAATGGGACTTAAATTTTTATTTTATTTTATCGGTATTTAAAACTTTGTTGGAAAAGTCGGAGAAATGGCACACCAAAAAATGTAAGTAAGATTTCCTTTTATTATTAATATGTTAAAGTGTTATAATTTATGAACATATTATTTTTGTCACCTTTGACATATAGTGGTGTAAAGAATAAAAACAGAATTGTTAAAAATTACATACATTGTTACAGTTTCATTACCATTGCCATTTGGCAACGCTAGTCCGTATGAAGTACATTTTTTCACAATTTTAGGCTGGTTATCGTTTGAGTATGACTTTGGCTGAAGTACTCGATCAACTTGAAACAGTGAAGATGTCCACGTTCCAGACATGTACATAGAACCATCGGATGTGGCAAAATTTACCGACCAACATTCTGTGAGTGAAGACGAGGACTCTACCTACGTGGAAACCCTATCAGGTCGACACCTTCGAGCGCTCGTCGAGCTTCGAGTTACATCTCCGGAACCGGTGGATACCCCCGGCCCTTCCAATAAAAGACGCAAAATCTCTAATCATGCTTGGAAAAAACAATTTTCTGCCTGACCTCAAAATCATATGTCATAAGCAAAAGTATTTTCTAGCCATTTTATTAGTATCAGGGTACAATAAATTACCTAGTAAAAAATCGTATTGGTACGAGTATATATCTATATACACTCTGGTGTATAACAATAACAGGATTGGGATTCGTGGTAAAAAATGGTCGTGGCCGATGTTCACGTGGTTCATAGATGTATACAATAATATATATTACTATATATAACTTTTGGATCTTGTTGAAGATGTCTGGCAAAAATGTATCACAGTTAGATTTTCGGAAAGAAGTCGCTAAAACTTATCTGAAGAACACTACACCAGAGATTGGAGGACGTCCTTTTTGGAGGAAAGTTTTATGTTATATATTATATATTAGATATGATGTTGAAAAGCATTTCCTCAAACAAATAGAGAAGAAAAGATGCGGGAGAGGGTTGCAAAACAATAAGTAGAGTAATTTGTCCTAAATGTCTTGAAACATACAATTTTTTTGGGACCATTACATGCTTTTTATTCATTATATAGTTTAGTACATAGTAATGTGTGGATGTAATGTTTGTATGGAGCTAGACTCATCTACTACACGCAATGACTAAGTAGTAGACCAACCTACACTGGAATTAGATATTTTGTACCCACTTTGGCCTAGCGTTGCCATATGGCAACGCTAGGCCAACATATAAATATAATATAATATAAATATGGCAACAGGTCAAAACTCAAAAACGACAAAAAATATTTTTTTTATATTGTTTTATATTCACAAAACAAAAAATTTAGCCTGATTTCAAAATTCCAAGAAAATCTGTCAACGTTTAAAATTCAGTCTCTAATGTGTTAATTTTAAGGGAAAAAAGCAGGTGAGATGGAGGTCAAATGCGCACTTACATTTAATTTAAAAAAAATTAAATAAAAGAATGTATCACCTGACAGACTACTTGATAGACCAACGATGAAACTAACTTTCCAAATTGATACAACCATGGCTTAGACAGTGGTAACAATAATGTGAATCTGAACGGGAGAACCTAATCTGATTTTTGTCGCACCGCTATGTTTAAATTTATAGTTTTCTTTTTGTGTAAAAGGTTTAATGTGAAAAAAAATTGTATAACTCACCTTCACTATCAAAGAGCATAATATAATAGAATGCTGTTATAAACACGGATACAGGAACCGTTGTGACAAAAAGAACCCAGTATATCTTTACATACCATGGTAATTTCAGTGTAGCATCTGAAAATGTAACATCTGTTTATTTACGTTCAAATGGTACTTTACGCATAACTTGTCTCAAAATTTATGAATGTGTATCAATTTAACTGTACTTAGACATTTAACTGTACTTAGACACTTTTTTTTTGTAATCGCAATCAGTCTTTGTACTCTCTAGAGCAAGTCCTTCTTGACGTTTTCAAGTTGAATTTAAATCTTAAGTGTCAAATTTGATATGCTCTTGATTTTGTACTATATATAAAGAAAATTAAGACAAACAACAAAGAGGTGTTATATATTGACACCTCTGTGTTAGTGTTGAAAATGGTAAAAGATATCGAAATATAGAAAATTCGCGAAAATATTCAACCATTTAAATAACTCACCAAATGGTACTTTAAACAATGCTATCCCTGAAACTATAACTGCAAAACCAGACGTCATATTTATTAAAACAACGCCCCAATTTGTCATGTAAATTAGCCAATAGCGTTGTTGTGTGTCACTTTCTGGGGGAGGTACCAGAGAAATAACTATTGTAGCTAAACAGGTTAAAAATATAAAAATTCTTATAAAGAGGAGTGGCAACACCGATTGACTTTTCTGAAAACAGCTTAGATAAAATTTAGTAATTGTGTCGTGCCTGAGACCAAACATGTGGAGTTTAAATTCATTTTTTAAATATCCCATGGTGAGGCTCTGTGGTTCGTTTTCAGTTCTATTTATGATATCTATGCTGAAATTTCTCTCAGCTTGTTAAATTTCATAAAACAACAAATATTTCAGTTCTCTAGTTTTTCGGTGCCATCTACCACTTAATGGCACTATAAAATAGATTTAATGTCATTTTTAGTTCTCACTGCTCTCCACTCGAAAAAATACAAGTCACTTTTGTCACTATTACTTAATAAGTTGTCTATCACTATTTCTATGCTCTCTAAGAAACAATTCACGAAGTGCGTTCACTTTGCACAGCTGGGACTGGTTTGTATACAGATTATCTGGAATCGATCAATAGCTTGACGTTGATAAAACTAAAGTAGGTTTGTATGGAGTAGATAACATCGTTAAGCAATAAGAGTATAATAATCTACGATAAAATTTTATGATCAATGTTACTTTTGCAAATATTATATATTGAAAACAATGCTCTTCATCATTGGAATGTAAGCGCATAGCGACCAGCGAAGTTCTATCCGTCATAGGCACCTGCACGAGGTACATCCTGCAGTAACTAAAGCGGACCTCACGACCGGTCAACCGTGGTATAGCTCTACCTGGTCTGGCACAGCTAAACTTGCTGCCCACTAATGGATAGCCGCATCAGTGGTGTTAAAGAATGTGCCATAGGCTCTTCAACCCGCCGCGTGCCAATCGTGGAGATCATGATCATTTATCCCACAATGAACGGCACAAGACAAACTGGCGCACATTGGGGGAGGCCTGTATCCAAAAGTGGACTGTAATAGGCGTGATGATGGTTCTTCATCTTTGGGCTATATCTTTTAGGTCTTTTTCCAGAGTGTGTATTTGTAACAGTAGACAAGGTTTTATTTTGCAACAACATTAATTAACGTATGTAATCGACTATAATTAAGAAATGTAACTGCTACACAGTTACCTGTATAATAATGATAATGTAACCGACATACTTATTTACATATTTCATAATCCCGCCAATCATTTTAAAATATCGCAATCACAATATCATGAGACAGGCAGGTGTTAAATATACTTTACAACTTATCAAAGGAGAAATAACAATTTCGTCGTGAAGCTGTCAAAATTTAACGAGTGCGGCCTACATAAATACAAAAATAAGTTTGCAGCTACCAATGTACGACATCTAAGCTGTGAAATGATTCCTTGCAAAGTACAATAGTTGAATAGATGAAAAAGTAACTTTGCATTATATAAATGCAAATACAAATTAATCATTCATTGAATAAATCAAATCAAACGCAGGAAGCCGTCAATAATGCTGCCAATTTAGAAAGACCCTGGGGAATTAATTTATTAATATTTAGATGGACGTTAGAGTTATTATTTTAATTTTCGCCTCGCTCGTTTGTTATATTGACAACACTTATGTCAAATGTTATCTATCGTATCAACATTACGTTCTCAATTTCGAAATGACGTGCCTTCTGCTACAGAAAATGTCAAATAAACCTACTTAAATCTTTATCGGTACAAGTTTTTATCAATTATATTCAAAATGTAATCAATAAGGAACTTTTTAACATTAATTCATTTGTAAAGTCTTTTGAAAGGAATAATGGAAGTAAGAAATGCACGTTGTTTAATTCCAATGTAGTATAATATCCAATCCAATCCAATCCAATCCAATATTGTATAATGTTGTATAAATAATGTCTTTATCAAAACTCAAAATTAATGTCAATATTTGGCCGCATTCAACGAGAATACCATTACATTGCCATATCTAACTCGTTTCTAGACGACTTTGTGTTACTGTGCTGTCCTATTATATTCACAACCAGACACGGTTCTCCCGTGAGGAGACACAACAAACGCTTGAACAGATGTATAATTTTATACGACTGTGGGCTACTGTATCATCCAGACATTTGTTTGCATTTAAAAAGAGATTATTAGCCGTAGTCTTCTATCCTTGTCCTATTCAGTTTTGGTTACTTGAAATCAAAAGCTTGATCAGATACATTTCGTTTTAATATGACTTTGTGTCTTAGCTATATATAAATTATTATCACTAGTATCAGGTTTCTTACCACGGTATAACTTCTTTTTATTTGCCCGATATTTCGGAACAGTTGCACGCTCCATGGTCACGGGTGGTCTCACGGGTCAACCCGTGACCATGGAGCGTGCAACCGTTCCGAAATATCGGGATAATAAAAAGAAGTCATACCGTGGTAAGAAACCTGATACTAGTGATAATCATTTAGTGAATAATCACGAAAGTCTTAAAATCTATTTAGCTATATATTTTCGTTTAAGGAGAGAATATTGGCCACAGCCCACTATTTTTGTCCTATTAAGTTTTCGTTAACTCTAATCAAAAGCTTGATCGGATATACTTCGACTTCATACGACTTTGTATGTGACAATCTGAATTATACTGCTTCCGACCATTGTTGCATGACGAGTTGGAAATCGACTTATGCCTTTAGAGAGATTCTGAGAATTCAAAAGCCCCTTGCCGACGTTTTGGGTATATCACTACTGTTACATTTTCTCAATCGCACAAGAATCGAGCCGCAGGGGCCAATAAGCGGGAACTGCTAGGATCAGCATTTACTTATGGACATTAAAGACGATTCCATAATTCCTGTTACCCTTTAATGTCGACAACCTCGGAGGCCCAACGGATTGCACTATCGGCGCTAGATGACCAGGTCTCGGGTTGGATTCCTAACAGGACCAAAAACTGCCTATATGGCCGAACGTTTACCATGCTGGTCTGACAAGCAGAGGTCCCGGGTTCGATTCCCGGGCCCGGAGAAATGTCATACATTTAGTTTTGTTGTGATTTTGGATGTAATTTGTGGTTTCCCTATGAGAGCGTGCGTTTAAAAAAATTGGGTGATCTGGGAAATGCCCCAGATAATCATTGCTCTGGGATTCATAGGACAGGGAATTCTCTAGCTTGAAACCTCGTAATTGGCGTGGTTGTCTGGCACATTATTGTTAATGTTTATGATTTTTGTATTGATGTTTGCATTTTGTTTACTCTTTCAGATGGTAACGGATGCACAAATTCAAATGCAATACGGTAGACAGTTTCGTAATTATATTCTATATAGGTACTATATATATATCGTCACATTATTGTATATTGGTACATAAACACGATGAAATTCAGTAATTAAAAGGTTTTTAAATTTAAAAACGAAGAAATTATACATGAAAACAAACATTTACAGGCGAGTTTTAAATTTTGAAAACTTAAGAATTAAAACTGATTATTCAACCCTGAACCAGTTAATATCGTATATCCAATTAACTATTGACTAAAATAATCGATCCAACAAAAGACACATCGATTTTATTTATCTGTCAATCAACGATTTGAACAATGTGCCAGATGTTTGATGAGATACAAATGCAATTACAACTTTATTTTTAACGGTATTATGGTCTGTAGTTCAATAGCTCTGTTGGGGTACAAAGACATGATTGACTGATTGATTGACGCTAAATCTTGATAGTAGAAGCTTTGTGTGCGGATGGCTACTGTATAGATAAATTGTAGTATGTATACTTAGTTAGGTAGGTTTGGTCTTGTAAAGTTGCGTGTTTTTACATCAAAAATGGAAACACGAGAGAAATAAAGTCAGTGTCGAAATGATTTGAACTGATAAATTTCTAAAAATATATACACTTCTACAGTAGGTAGTTTCTAGTAGTAGTCAGTAGTAGCTTCAAAGAGCTCAAAATATCGTAACATTTGATATAAATCAATATTTTGTTAACATAAAAATCGTATTTTCAGTTACAATGATAAATGCAGCCTGAATTAATAATAATAATAATAATAACGCACACACTCAACATAGCCCCGCACTAGGGAAACCCTGTGTCGCGGGTGCCATGGACACACACATAGACAACCACAAATTACACCCAAACTCACGAGAGAAATAATTGTAGGCCATACAACTATTTCTCCCGGCCCGGGAATCGAACCTGGGACCTCTGCGTGGCAGTCCGGCATGGTAACCGTTCGGCCACGGAGGCAGTTAAATTCATTGATTTAAGATGTATTTCTGTCAAGTGTATTATGAACTTAGATAAAATTTACAGCTTTGGATTTATGTTACGTTGACCGTTCAGAACATATTTGTTCTAACTTTGCTTACTGGGTACTGCGAGGTAGGTTTTAATGATGCACTAAAATATATAATGCCGCTGTCACGTGAAAAAGGTCATGTAGCTCAGACGTTACGATAAAAGGTAATGCTAACAGGGTTAAATATAAATGGCTGGGTGTGGCTAGGGACAAAATATCGAGGTCAGTTTTAGACTAATCCCATCAACCTGATGCCTTGTGGATTAAAACAAAAGTTAAATGGCAAACGGAAGGCTGACCAACGCTGCGGCACTCGGGTTCTCCTTTCAAGTATTTGCCTTGTGCAGCCCAGCATGTGCCCCACCTATGCCCACTTTTTCTTCTCGGTCCTATTTCGGATCTAAGCATTACCTTTTGGGTCTCCTGGGGTGACTCCGAGCAATGCTCTCTCCTTGCCCTTCTGCACGTCTCGGAATTTCTCAGCGGAGTTCTGTATAAGAGTCAAAGTTTCCGTATTGTAGACAAGCACGGGCATAACACACTGTTCGAAGACTTTACTTTGATATGTAGGGGTGTCTTGCCACGAAGCGTTTGTTAGTTGGCACCAAATGCAGGTCAAGCCTGCACGATCCACCGTTCCACTTCCGCTATTTGTTTCTCAAATTGTAACCTGACGTTCCAAAGTCGGTTTGTTTGAAATAGCAAATATACGCGATTTTGATCCGAAATAATCCATTTCCAATGTGTTGCAATCGCGAATGCATAGAAACTCAATATGAAACACACTTCTTCTTAGCGCTTCTCTACGAAGGTTGGCGTCATTGATGGATATCCTTGTTTTTGAGACTGCTGCACGAAAGAGCGACCTTATGCTAAGTTTAACCAGTCTCTTAGATTCTTCAACCAAGACTTTCCTTCTGCCATAACTAACTTTTTCTTGAATTTTCCCCTGCATTTTTTTCCTCATTACGGGTCCAAAATACTGTTAATATAAAAATAGTAATTTTAGAATTAGCACAGCGTGTGAAGTCCCCATCTCGCAGTGACTCTGACTAGAGGACTAAGCCATAAAGGTTTGCTCTATTCTGCCCTATAACGATAGATGATGATGAAGTACGTACCTATTGACCAAGGTTTTTAAATTATAAAGAAGTAGCTCAACCCTGTTATTAACTCTAAACTTACATTTTTTTATTCTACTCCATTTTGCCAGTCTGACACTTTACACAGCATTGTAAAAAAAAGCCAAGTTATCGCGCAGAGCGATAAGAAGCCTCCATTTATTACATTCATTACGATAGCATTACTGAGCGGTCGATTCGTTAAGTATTATCCGGTAGCTGATTTTATATTACTATATGTATAGCGTCAGCAAAAAAAAGCCTGCTCAATAATAGAGGAAAATGAAACTCAATTTCAAGTGCTTTGCTAAATGTGTATTAAATGTGAAATGATAGTCAACCGGGGAAAAAAGTATATACGGAGAATTTTTTTTATTTATTAAATAGGTATTACATACTTTTTTCAATTCTTACATTGTCGCTCTTTGACGGGGTTGCATAGTGTAAGTAGTGAGTACTCTGTCTGCCAGAGGGCAACATTTTTCGAAACAATAGCTCAAATACTGATTAGAAAAGTTGCAATCGCTCTACAAATGCGTTTGCCGTTGTCGTGATATGGCACGAGTAAGAGTGATGCGAATCGCTGGTGTTGCGGTTGCGACGCTTGAGCGGTATAGTATGACGCTGCGTTGTATTACATATAAATGTCACACGGTACATTGAAATGATGCGCGGTGACCGAACGCGTGCGCATCGGACAAGGGCCAGGAGATGAAGCGGAGAGGGGTTCTGCGGTGCGTAAGCGGCGTTACGTTGTGATGTGACACCGCATCTCTCGTGTGGCCCTAGATGAGCTGAAATCATAGCGTTGCGTCAACGAACGCCGACATCTACGTGCCCGTGTAGTATTTTGCTTTAACATTTGCAATGTAAAAATATCCCTGACCTGTACATATTATATACAAGCAACAACATTGCAGTATTACGGATCGGTATTTTTTTAACAAAAATCTTTTTCGCTACCCGTATTTTAAATATATTATGAACGAATCGCCGCGGAGCGGTTGCAACAAATGATATACTTTTGACAGCGTCAGATGTTACTGTCAAGATAACATTGACAGGCGCGCAATCTGCCCACAATGGAAGAAAACCTTTAATGTATTAGAAAAAAGTGCGCAAGAGTTGATTTAGATGTATACGTACTTATTGTATGTACTTCTTCTTAATGTTGTTATAGAAAGGGATCCCGCAGACAGGAACCCAGGAAATATTATTCATGGTCTTTACACGGTCAGAATGTGTCACGCTGTAGACGAAGAATGAAGAACAAGGACGCGAAATACTTGAATTCATGACCGCCTACTATCTGTGGAATCCCTAAGTAAGAGATTGTAGCCACATCCATCAGTCAGTACATTGATAAGAAACAATCTCGATATATTATGAGTTGAGTCAGTAAAGGCTGAATCGTTCCATCTGAGACTGATACGTTGCGGTTATTGACATTATAGCCAAGATTGTCCAAATAATAATAACAATAACGGACACTCTCAACTGCAATAATGGGTATTTTAAGAAGACTGATTAAAAAGGTTTGACACAAAAAGGTAAATAACAAAAGGACTTATAATTAAAATATTAAAAACTGACGTTAAACATTAAAGGTACTCTGTGTATTACTAAAATGCTAGGCTCAAATGACTATGTTAGTGTCATTTCTTATATCTCTATTTTCCAAAAAGTATCCAAAATATAAAGTACGAGTATATTTAGGTACAAAATGGATTTAAAAAAAAATTAAGTACGAACATAACTATTTCCCCTGAGTACTATATGTATAGTCATTATGAATTGCTTTTTCTACGTAATTGCAAAAACTTGTTAACTTAATGGTTGCAGATTAATTGTCCTTTTGCATGTAATGAGTTCGCGTTGCGGTCGTGTTGTACAACACCTATCGTTAGGCAAATTTAACAAAGTAAAATATTTTTCGTTTACTATTTCACATTAACTGCAGTTCGTGTCGTTTGAAAAAACGGAGATACGAAGCTTAGCGGAGATTGTTCTTTTTTGGTAGCCGAGTTAACCCACGCACCATAGGAAGAAGTTTATCCGTGATAATGCAGACGCGTCCGTAACGGTGAATGGATCAATGCACAGAAAAAAAGGATCGGGCACGGCGCGGGCGCGCGGTGATTGGTTGTCATTATGTGATTAGTTAATTATTAATATGAAAAGAGCAAGGCCGATGTGTGCATACTCGTGGTCGTTGGTTGTACATGGAAATACGTAAAGTCACACATCGTGTGAGGCCTCATTAAGATCATACTCTGTTACGACAAAAATGTCATATAGGTACTGCTGTCAGTTAGAAGATGAAATATATACTCTTGAGTTGGGTGTGTAAATGACACACTATGTAGCACATACGAATTAGATCAATGGATCGAATCAAACAAATGGACGTAAAAATGTACTCTCGTCGGTCACATCGCAATTTAACAACAATTTAAATTGTGGTCAATCAGTATCTCATCATCGGCCTATTGCAGTCCACTGCCTCATGTTAGTTCGTGACGTTTACTGAAAGGGAATGGTCATCTATACTGGTGTGGACTTGAGCATATGGGTGTTCTCGCCGACGCAACTGCCCGTCTTCCGTGGTCAGTGAATTCAGTTGTACTAATCGAGCCCGGACAGTATAGATTGCCATCGACCGGTCACCAGAGCCTCGTTGGTTACTGCAGCATGTACCACGTTCAGGTTAGGTTGATTGTAAGAACTTAGATGGTGGTTACCTCATATATCCCTCGTATATCTATTTTACATAAAAAAGCATCCGTTACTACACACGTTCTACGTTTTTAATATGTGATAAATTAATTATAGAATGAAAAGTACAAATTCAATGAACGAGGCCTGTAACCCCTACGATGAGGAAGGCCTTCGTTCCAGTTTTGAAGGGTAAGTGCTGGTGAAATTACAGCCTCATGCGACTTGTTAACCTTATGTCTCAAGGTGACGGTTACAGTGGCAGTGCCCCTCAGATGTTTGTGATTTATAGTGGCATTACAAACGTTTTGGACAGGCATGTCGCTTACCACCAGGCACACGACTTGTCACACGATATCATAAAAAAAACTAATTGGCCAGTCATCATCTCCAGATTTCTTAATAATGGTTACTTTCTTCTATTTCAATAAAATCGGAATGACTGTGAGGCATGATTTTGGAACAGGACTGTAGGTATCAAAAACATTCTTCAATAAGTTTATATTTCAGATTGTACGTTTAAACTCCTTGTGTTCTTCCTGTAAATGTAATAATCATTGTAATAGGTTTGATTTGAAATAAAGAACATAGGAACACTAATTTAGTTTGCAAAGAAACACCTGGAGGTACAACTAATTTAAGAAAGGTGATTTTCATTATATAAGTTTACCTGGGCATCGAACTGAGGACCTCGTATCCTGATTTCTAACACATAAGCCACCGAAGAAATATTATTAAATATTCTAAATCTGCTATGCATCATTCGCAGATTTATCATGTGGTGGCTTTGATCTTCTTACGCTTTGGATCAGTTATCTCGAGTGGAGGTGTCTGGATTCGATTCTTGAGTACTGAAAGTTTATTACAGTGTGAATTTGAGACTGAGAGCCTTTGTAATAAAGATTTGAGAATTTGATATCATACTGACGTAAGTGGAATACTCGGTGAATAATTTTAAAAGCAAAGAATATTGAAGTATTATTATCTCGTCAAGAAAATGTGAAGCAGTGGATACTTGCTGACAAACATTACAATACCATTAATTTAGCCATTGTAATAATTAGGTTCCATATAAAATTGTCGAATATAGAAAGAACGAATTCGAATTTGTAAACAGTGTTATAGACACATAAACGTTTCTCTACAGTCACACCGCCACGTGCATACGTTAGCGGGCTATATTTCACCATAAGCTGCGTCTGCGCATAAATCACAACGTTAATCCCATGCGCAGGAGTAAACTACAGGACACTGGTGCCCAAAATGTCATATCACAGGCTGTGCGAAGCCGCCTTTATATTGAAACCTCAAAGCGCTACATGCCTTCTGCGTGTTTTTGTCACACAGGCTGTACGTTTAGAAGGTCAGCTTTAAAAAACGTCGTCTTAACCTTTTTAATAAAGATATATTTGAATTTAAATACACACATTTGTATTATGCATTTATAGCCTCATCATACCCCCGTATCTGATTCGTAGCGGAGCGTAAGTCATTGTAATGATACATTTTATGCATCTCTTTTATTTGCTTTGTTCATTTGTTTTTATCCTCATTAATCTTTTCGTTTCTTTGTTCCTGTTTATCAAATTTGCAGGGCAGTTATGCGTCAATAGGCTTAATTATATTAATTGTTTCAAATAATTCTGGTTGGTAAATAATAAAACAGAACTTAAAATCATTGGATGAAATAATCCATCCTTAGGATTGTAGATAGATGATACTTTTGTTATTTAAAAAATGCTGTATGTGTACATATGTATAAGAAGATACTCACGAATTATTTTTTATGGTAGAATAAATGCGCATTTTGACCTCCAACTGTCCTCAAACTGGCGATGAGCTCGACGATGGAGCCTGCAGATCTAAATAATGCCTATTCACTCACACCTCGAAAATGCCCAAGCTTTCAAGTAATTGCTATGGGCATATTTATCTGATAAATTATTAATACTTTTAAAAATATTACGAGTGACAAAATTTTTTGTCTTTTAGTTGGAAATTTTAAATAAATAGCTCATGTCCTCATGTCATTCTCTCTTAGTGAATGTATTGTTTCTGTAAGCGTGGAAAGTGTGTCACATTTATAATTAGGATTGCGTGTTTTCCCTAGGCTCCCAACAAATTGTTGGAAAGCTAATACTTATTACCGTAGAATAAATAGAGGTGTAGCGGTTTTTTGAATGACTAATAATTTTATATTATTATCCATAAAATGTTTTCAATATGAAATCAACTCTTATGCAACCCTTATTTAAAATCCTTAGCATGATTTTACAATGCTCCTACGCAATTATTTTGTTTGGTCATTGGAAAAAACCGACTTAACGTAATACAAATCGTCACCTTACTTTCTGAAACTCGTATCATAGAGCACAAAGTTACTGAAATTTAAAAATGGACTGTATATATAGATTTTGCAGACTGATTTCACATCACATTTCCTTCATATTCAAACACTGGCTTTTTCCTATTCTTAAAGTAATGCATCCAAATTAATACTCTTAATAAGAAATTTAAAATAAAAGAAAGTTTTGCCATCTCCTGAATAACCACTCTTTATAAGATACGAGTTTGAGAAAGTAAGGCATCGTATATATATAATACAGTGTGAACGTACTTTTTAAATGTCGTCAGGAAGATTAAAAACGAAGTTTAATAACAAAACTTATTCGGAGATACGAATTACTTATCATATTTTTATTGTCTAATTCCAATATTTCATTTCATATTTGTAAATTTATGTATGTATAAACATTTAATATATCTTTGCATATCTACCTATGTTTTTCTATCGGTTGTCCACTGAAGACCTTTGTTCTCACTGCCTTGGGTTAGTTGAAAAAGATGATTAACAGATAAATCCACCTTTGCTGATTTTTTATATAATTATTATATCTTTTGTATTTGTTTGGTGGAATAATGAATATACACAGATGAGGCGGGAAAGTGGACCATTCGGACAAGTGGACCGATCGGGAAAGTAGGCCGATTGTACCGATTGTACCGGGCTTATTATTATATCGATCGTATACACTATAATGCTTGTCATTGTGGTGGTAAAGTACTCTCCGATTGTTGCCCAGGGATAACCCAGACGTACAAGAAAGGCATGGGTACGTCATTCCGGGAGGTTCTTTATATACATCAATTAATATGTTATTTGATTTCAATTGCTAATAATACGTACGGACAATGGCATATCAGACTGCACATTTTTGTTCGAAAATCGCCTACGTTGCAACGGAACAAGATACGTCGATGTAGCATGATGTACTGGCTTGTGTGTGACCGACTCGACTCCAGAAATCAAACATCTTACTTACACTATTATTTTCGTATTTATTAGATGTGCAATGTTCTTTCGCAAATGAAATAATTAGGTTAATTAATACTCGGGAGACATAAATAGCCTTTATGTAAATGTGTCAATGGAAATGAATTCTTTTAGTTAATTAAAAACCATTTTGCTGTTGCTACATTAGTTTCTGTGTAGTTGTAAACGGAGCTTTCCCGAGATTAGTCTCTTGTTTGTAGTTTTTAATATCATTTGCTTAAAATGGAGTAAGTACCACTAGGTCAAAGCTAGAAAAAAGCTAAACTTGAACTATCTTTAGTCAAATATTCGATTAGTAGTGTTTCAAATCGATTTTTGTGTTTTAATATTTTTTTTATTATAGCTAGAATAGAAGAAAAATAAGTATTATTTACATTTTTTGTGATTCAGAGAAAAAAATGAAGTTATCAAAGTGTATGGCGATGTGTGCTTGAGGAAAGAAAGGAGGAAAAGACAAAAGCTGCTCTTAATAGAATTATTCCTGGATTATGCTCAGAATTCCACTCTTCACGGTCTTCGTTACATCGCTGAGAGAGGACTTAATTTCTTTGAAAAGTATTATCAACATTTTTTTATTATCTTTGATATAAAATATGATATTAAAAGTTACATTTTATTATCATACAATAGGTTTGAATGTATTATTTTCTATGATTGTTGAGTCGAAGCGGGCCAACCCTTCAAAGAGTTATTGGGCGTTCGTTTGTATGCAATAGCATCATGTTTACCGAAAAACAATTCCTTGATGAAAGACGAATAGATTTCATTTTAGAGTTCAAGTTCAAAATTAATATCCTAATTACATCATTATTTATTGGGATCTAAATAATTTCATTGAATGTTGACATGGTAATATAATAACGATAATTTTTCAGGGCGTTTTGGTTTGTGACATTTATTTTAAGTTGCGTTCTTTGTTTTTTTCTAATTAACAATGTTTGGGTGAAGTGGAAGACTAGTCCAGTAATAGTCAGTTTCAGTGAAGAAGTTATATCTGTTGCAAAGGTAATTTACCGATATTTTTATACGTTATTCAGTATTTGAGCCGATAACCGCTTCTGGGCCTCCAAACTTTTTTGTCATCATCTTTATCTAAAGATAATAAATAATCTTAGATTTCAATTTTTCTTCAACTTTTCATTTTATTAACGCAAAGCCAAATCTTCAGTACGAAATTCAAATTTAAGGCAAATTGCCAGATCTTGAGTTAACGTCTCGTGTTTGGTAGTATGGCAAGACGCGCGAGCCGTCCCGGAGGGCGAAAAATTTTACTACTCCTAAAGATAATAAACGTCAAAGGTTTTTGACATTTGTTATCACTGACAATTAATTCCATGACACATTAAAAATATTTTCTTCCTTGTACGATGGTTAGTTCAACTACAAAATAATAAAGTTTTTTGAAATATAACAATAGAAGATACGGTTAAAGGAGCCTAAGATAAGCGCTACCATAGAATAGATTTATTTAACCCATCGTATGTCCTAGAGTGTCCTATATATTGTTTTTAAACGGTGTTTGATATCTAAGTTGCGCGGTAGAGACACCATGTGTCTTTAGGAAGGATGACGGGTTAACAAAAAACGAAAATTTATTATTTACATATATATTTATTTTATTTTTACTAGTAAAGCGTGTTTAATTTATGTTCTAATATTTTTATATATTTTTTAGAAAAAATGTATATATTTTATATACTATTTTTAGATATTTTTTTTTGAATAATAAGTAACACAATTTTAGTCAGAATTTATTCCAAATTTATTCATTATTTATGAATTTATTTATTATTACATACTACATCACTTCATTCGAATTAAACGTGTTCCCTGTCACATTATTTCAAAAAATTTTTCTTTAACATCATAATAATATTATTTAGCGCGTTGCTAAATATTATGATTCTAATTTCTGTTACATAGAAATAGAGATAGACTTACTTTTGACCATTATCTCATCTGAGGAATAGTGAAATAGGTATAGTTTTTAAACTTGGTAACAATTCAATATTAAATTGCATTTAATACCAATTATATTAATTTCACATGTAAAATGTTTTAACATAGTTATGTCATAAGCATTATTTCATTTTAGTTTTTGTTAAATACAAATTTTAAGGGACTTGGATGCGTTTCAGGTGCCTTTTCCATCGGTAACCATTTGTCCAGAAATAAAAGTTATCAGCAGTAAGTTCAACTATACGGATGTGTTAGCCAGAATATTCGTAGAAAATGCGTAAGTTTTAGAATTAATGTAGTGCTGTAATTTTTTCAAGGCATTTAAGTATATTTTTTTACGTTTTTAGTAAGTATGTACAAATAAATGTGCTTGCGTTATTAATTATAAATAAAAAAAATTGTAAATTTATTTTGGTACAAAGGTCATTACAATATGTATTAATACAGAAAATAAATTAACTATACTATACATAACGAGTACCGAATATTACACTTTAATATCAATAACATGGCTTAACACTAAAAGCTCATTGCTTGGTGCTTAAACAACTTTCTACATAAAACTAAAGAAAAAACCTTATTCACTGGGATCACAGGCTTCGCAAGCAGAAGAAGAAGCCCACTAGACCACTAAGCTGTGTCATTACTACTAAATAGTTTATAGTGGATACTTACCTTAAATCTGTTGAATGAGATACCAAAAATATCCGTGCCACAAAATGTATTATTGTATGAAGATGTTGAAATAAAAATCTACCGAGTATAAGATCTGTGTGATTGTATGGACAAGCTTTCTGAGAAGGCCCGTAGTTACACGAGCTACGGTACGGGCGTGGGAAAAGTATCGCTCGTGCCAGCGCGGGCTTGCATGATGGGCCTGTAACGCGAGGACACCTGTACAAACCGGCGCGACGCGGCGCGGCCCCTGCAACCACGGGCCGTAAGAAACCGAAGTTTCACGGGTCAAGGTCGTTTTGATTCAGAATAACTTCTAAAAAAATTGTAATAATAATGCATAATGCAATGACATTAACGATCCAGTTGCAAACTGTGAGAACAAAATTTGAGAGTAAAAAACTAAACTGCAAACATAACTCCAACGTTTAAAGAGTTTATTTTATTTCAGTACTGATGAAGAAATACACACTTTAAAGGACATAAGCTTGGTTTGTGGTGAAGTAGAAGAAATAGAGATGATAGTTGGTAACACTTTTAGTTACTCAATCTTCACCAATTCATCACTAGTGCAGAATTTTCTTAAAGTAAGTGAATTAAACGATGTCTGGCGTAGGTACTTTTCTTTGGTCACGTACAAAACTTGTCAAATGATTAACGATTGACATGCCATTAGCCAACATACTGGAAATCTTTTTCGAACTTCAAAAAAGTTTCAAATTTAGTTACGTACGTACTAGCAAACTTACCAAAACGCAGTATTTCAGAACTTTGTTCATTATAAATTGAATTTATAGTGAAAGAAACATGAATGTTTTTGATTAGCACTTAAGGAAATGTGTACCCTATTACTTACCAAAATTTTTACAGGTAGCTCCAGACGTGGAAGATGTATTCGCTTATTGCATGTGGCGCGGGCAATATGTGGATTGTCGAAATATATTTAAAGTTGCTGTAACATTAGAAGGAGTGTGCTATAATTTCAACGCACTAGCGGCTAGTGAAATGTTTACTGACAGGTAATAATAATATTTGTTTTCACCAACCAACCAAAGGAATAAAACATCTATAGTTTTGGGAAGACTGGGCGTTGAAGCCAATTTTGTCAATAAAGAGCTCTGTATGTATTTTTATTAATTAATCAAAACGTTTATAAATTGGTTGTTTTTTGTCATCTTGTGTACTTTGTATTTACGTTGTATGTATTTAAGTCCTTTCTTCCCCGAAGTATCGATATATTTTTCCAACAACAGAATTCTAGTTCCTAGAAAGAGCTGTTGAATACAAATAATAATACTTGTTGTCCCTATTGTTCTTTGTAGAACAGGCGTTACTCTGAATCATCTTCTCAGTAGCCTCAAATAAAATTAGATTTTAAAGAAACCCTTTAGACTACCTTGCAAAAAGCTGTAATTTTATGATAATTGATACACACAGATACATGCGTACAAGAAAAATGTAGTTTACAAGAATGTATTACAGTATACATTATATAAGATCGTATGTACATTTCACTAATACATGCTTTGCGAATATTATACACGTTTCTTTTTTAAATTTTGATATAGCATGCGTTCAAAGTTAAATTTATATAAGTAACAAAACATTACCCAAATTTTACATTTTGTGTTATCAAATAAAAAATAATCAGTATTGTAGCAGTATTGAATAACAAACAAATGATGCAATTACGTTTCCGGTAATTTATTAAATAATTTGGGCGCAAAATGAATGCCCTATAGTATTGCAAAATTTCAAGTTATTGGGCCGTATTTCTTCTTTGTTTCTTGTGTCTCTAGGATATCTAGTTTTCACTAAATTAAACCTGCCTAGATTTTGTACACAGTACACAGGTCTCATAAATGTACATTGTACAATATCTTCAGTTTTTTAAAGTAAGGTACGCAACTCTCTCGTTGACCCACATCAAATGTGGCCGTGACACACCTGTATTTACTTGATTTTGATCCGTAAGTGTGTTTAAGACCAGCCAACACGCTGAGAAAGGAATTGCATAGTAATAACAATAATTGTGACAAACAACAAACTTATTACCTCAGGTATCAATCTACGGAGTTCCTCTCATACTCTTATAAGTATCAGATCAATGAAATTAACTCCAGGTAACTGCCTAGAACATCCGGATTTGAAACGATTTAGAAAAATTAATTTCCTAAATAGTCACTACATACCTCCAATCGAATCCAGGACCTCCTCATCTAGTGCTCACAACATTAATTGCTGTGCCACCGAGATCGTTATATATACCTAACTTATAACATAACAACTGTAAATTGTAATGTAATGTATGGTGATCTCAAAAGCGGATTCTATTTTTCAGAATGCAAAAGGATTACCCAATCCTGAATACTACAGAAATCAGTAGGAATTGGACGGTCACAGAAGGATATACTAATACTGATGAACACCCATATCCAAGACGAGGAAGGGTATGTTTTATTCTTTAATCGGCTCCATTGTAAGACATTTGCTATACATATACTATTGTTTAATGTGAAGATGACGTGTGTGACATTTTGATCGTTATAGGAAAATGGACCGTCTCCGGATTTAGTGGTAGGATTGAAGGAAGATAAGAGGTTTAGCGGAAGTGCATGTAACAGCATGAGAAACGGTTTCAAGGTATGTGTAGGTATATCTAGTTTGCAGATATTTGACAATAATAACCGGCACATATTGGTGTTTAAATTCATAGATATTCGTGCAAACCCCTGAAGACTTACCACAGAGTTCGCATTATTATTACGCAGCTTTGCAAAAGCAAGTTTCATCGGTTGCAGTCAAATTTAACATGTTAAACACATCTGAAACATTACGAGGATACGACCCAGAGGTGTAAGTAATATTTTTTGTCAATTCATAAATTTATGAGTAAAGCAGTTGAATTTGTAAATGTTTCAAGTCTTCTTTTAATTTGAATTAATTGATACGCTTTTCAGGAGACAGTGCTATTTTCCAGAGGACTACAAGCTTGACTATTTTAAAGTGTACACTCCGAGCAATTGTCGTTTGGAATGTCAATCCAAGTACACGTTTAAAAAGTGTGGATGTGTATGGTTCAATATGCCCCGTAAGTCTCCGTGATGCTTGATTTTAAGGAGTTTTGACAAAAATCCTTTTACGTATTTGTGTCATCATCATATATATTTGGATTGGCGGTTTCATCAACATTAGATTATGAAAACGAAAAAAATGTAAAATGTAAAAAAAAGAAGTCATATTATCGGTTTCACTAATGATGTAAATTCATTGTATTTTTAGAAATATTTTACGAGAGTTATTAATTATTAATATGTGAATCGTGACAACTTTTGCATTTCATGTAAAAGTACGGACCACCACTATAATTCTAAAGAAATATTTGAATCCAACCACTGTGATAATACTTACGATAAAAATTTTACAGTTCAAAGGGTAAAAAGCCCTACGTGCTGTTGAATACTCGATAAGAAAAACTAATTCATTTTCCCTGTTTGCATAGATCGTAAAGGCACACCAATTTGCACAGGAAGATTGGGGTCATGTGTTAGTGAGGCTCAAGGTAAGGCAATGATATATATTTTGAAATTATGAATAGATTTTCTCACCACGTATTCGCTTCTAATTTGCAAAATTTTTTTCTTAGATATCAAGCGGCCTACATAATAATAACAATAATAATCATTTCTTCTCTCCCATTCACATACAATTTTAAAAATACATTCACGTGAGAACTTAACGGGGGACTGGTGCCCAAATTAAGTAGACCCTGTGTCTTGGGACGCCAAGTATCCGACTCAGAATCATATTTACATACATACATTACGTCTGGCGACCCGTGGTCTTCACTCAAGAACTCGTTTCCCCCATCGGTTGTCGATTCTTCGATAGATATGGCCAGCCCACTGTCACTTCGGTTTGCTGTTTTTGTGTTATTAACCTCAAAAATTACAAAAAATCGAAAAATCGTTTTTGCAACGTTTTTCAATATTCTGATTCTGACAAAAAAGCCAATAAAACAAAAAAAACAATGTTTTTATGATACCAAGTGAAGGACGAACAAGGGCCTGGTGTTAAGTGATACGCCTGTCTATAGCAGTAGCAGTGCCACTCAAACTCTGTTTAAATCACAAAGATCTGAGGGACACTGCCTCTGAGCGTGTCACTCTGAGACATAAGTCGAGAAGTCCTATATGCTTGTAACGTTACTAGCACTCGTACCCGTCAAAACCGGAACGCAGATATGTTCTCTTTACCGCTTGGCGGCAGTAATAGATAAGTTCCAGTACCTATCTGGAAAATACGGAGGGTGCTTTACGTGCAATCGGGGCGGTTCACCTAAGGCACTAGCCTTACAGAGAACCGAATGAAGTCCGAGTAAACGGGCTGTTCTGGGGTTAGGACCTCTCACATACCCTAAGGGTCGGTAGAGAAGGTCACTATAATCAAAACTAATGTAGAAAGATATGGGGTTGCTTCATATTCATGTTCGCCCAAAGTACTACTTGCCTTTTGAGAAACAAATGAAGTCCTTGATAACGGTCTGTTACAATCTTGTCCACTGGCTGAATTGAGGTCCGGACCAAGACTTATAAAAACCCTGTGCTTGCACAGGTTATAGTACCCTTCTCGTATACCCAAGAGGTTGGTAGGGAGGGTCACCATATACAAAACTTATGTAGTAATTATACGAAATTGTTCACTTCATGCCGACGTACGCTGATGATAGCAGTTCAGCATGAACCGGACGCTCTGTGTAAATATATATTTCAATATTTGTATACAAAATTACTCAAACGACGAAGTTGATTAATTTTGTATAGTTTTGGATATTTGGACCTTTTAGCACAAAAGTACGTAACTTATAATTTTAATGGAAATAAGTGATTTGCATAGTTCCATTCAGAAGTTGACGTTCTGTGTAGTTTCCGTCGAATCGTATTACTGGGTTTTAATTTTACCTTATTTGTAGATGAATTGGCAATGGGGGCATTGGAAGCCGATCTCGGGCTTCCCGATAATGGTAAAGCCTGTCGCTGTCTTCCATCTTGCTATAGTATCCAATACGATGCTGAAATATTAAAGACTAGTTTTGACGTGCAAAACTACTTTAAACATTTAGAGGTTATAATGAATGACTCCTTTCCATGGATAAACGAGTGAGTATTTTCTATCATGAGATTGTTGTGTTTTTTTAATGGCTATTAGAATAAAAGGCAATCTTCATATAATAACATAAATAAAATAATCTTTTCATCCTCTCTTACAAAAAATTATAGTAAATTAATTTAGCAAATTGTAAAAGTAAGTAGTTGATCGGTATCAGATAATAAAGTGCTTTAATCAATTTTTACCGCTGATATACTGTACCTACATAATTTATGTAAAACAGAGTTGAATCTATACGCAATACACTTCGCGGAATGGGGACCTGGTGAACTGTACAGTAATACAGGCATTATTATTTTATTTTTTAAATTTATTTATTAGTTTTATCTTATAGGGTACAAACAGCTCATACTATGACATAATAGAAACTAAAATAATATTGATATTTTAGACATTAGTTGTTTTAGTAAAAGTAACATTGATATATAGGTCCCCACCGATAGAAATTAAGTTATCTAAAAACGCATTGGTTACACAGTTCGTTTAGAGAAATAATTTATGCCTATCTCAGACACCGGTCTCTCTCAAATAAGGTTTAATGTTAAAGCTCAAAAGTCACTAAGCAATTTACCTTGTAAGTTGAAAGAATATAAATAAATAATAATCATTTTGGATATCTATTGCAGACTCTCGCCTCTCTCAGGGCCTAAAAGATTAATTTTGAATTTTTTAGTGGAAAAGGCGATACTGCCAGCAATTATTTAATTTGTTAGTAAATTTGGTACCGTTGGTTTGTGTGTATTATAAATGGAGTTTTAATGCAGAGCTTGTGGCAGCCTCTGGCTGACGATTCAATTGCCGTTTTTTAATGTTGTAGTCTCTCCTTTTGATTGTCATAATTAGCTCACATAGTCAAGCTCAAATTGCGTTCTGTACTTAAGTTGACAGTAGCATACACCGCACCACTTTAGTAATATTTGATGTTTAACGTTGTGGTCACAGGCTCAAAAATTTGTAATTTTTCTTATAATATCTGCGTAGGTAACATAGAAATTATGTTATTTATATTTTCCAGCATTTTTGTCTATTATTAACAATGATGCATATTTTTTCTATACTGATAAAATCAAGGTCAGAAATAAATAAAAGCATTTCTCCGTTTTATGTATGTTCTATTGGATCGTATGTCTTTGTGCGATCTTTATAGGTAGTCCTATTTTAACAATTATCTTTACCATGTATGACGAGCAGAATATAAGAGAGAACGATTTATCTTGGTTCCCATTAATAAATAAATCACAAAAGATTTTCTTTCAGTTATGAACATTCAAGAATTGAAATGTACTTCAAAGAACCAAGATTTGTGTCGATGCGGCGTTCAGAATTGTTTGGATTAACAGATTTCTTGGCCAATGTTGGTGGTCTACTTGGTCTTTTCCTGGGTTTCTCTTTACTAAGTCTTGTGGAAATTGTCTACTTTGTCACTTTGCGGTAAGTTGCAATTAATGAAATAAGTAACTACATTTTTCGTGTACATATATAATAGAAACAAAAACTTGCTTGAGTACGAATGTTTACATGTTATGATTTTTAATGACAATGACGCAATCACCGTCCCTACCTGGTCTCAAACTATCAAAAGCTCTGTTCTATGAGTACAACAGCAATGAATTGAATTTTAAATAACAGCAGAACACCTTGTGAAAGGTTCGTCCAGGGAAGTACTGCCACCTTACCTATTTCTGGCGCCAAGCAGTAATGTCAGCATTAATGTGTTCCGGTTTTGAAGGGTAAGGGTGCTGGTGGAATAATAGGCACTTGGGACTTGTCAACTTATATCTTAGAGTGACTTGATATTATAAAAAAAAATTAAGTTAAGTCCGGGCACTACCGACACCAGCCAGACTAAAACCGATTTAGAATTTTTATTTTTAGATTAGGAATCGAATCCGGGATCTCCTCAGCAGTGCCCACAATGCTAATATGTTGGGTCACAGATGTCATTCTGACTAATCGTGTCGATTAAGATTTCTGAATTCATGCTTTTACTAAATTATTTGGATATATACCTATAAATATTTTTATTTGGTAAAACATTGCCTTTAACAAAAATTTTTTTTCCAGATTGTGCTGCATTCTTAAACGTGATTTAAGACAAGAAAAACTAAATAGTGAGATCAAAGATGAAAAACTTTCTTAAGCATTTCATAAAATATTTACGTAATTAAGATATTTATAATTTTTATTCCTAGATTTACTTTTTAACACTTAATGCACTTGAAATTATTTAAATGAATTGATATACTAAACTTACCTATTTAAATGTTAATAAAATTATTTTTCATCAGCTGCGTGTGCGCATAAATCACAGCTTTAATTCCATGTGCAAGAGTAAAGGCAGGATAGTGGTGTCCAAAATTATAAAACGTTTTGTTCGAACACTCACAGAAGAGCTTGGACATAATGTTACAAATCAAAAATAGAGTTGTTATTTATTCTTTTTCTTATCGTATCGATGGCATACATTATAATATTGTGGCGCAGAAGTTATTGCCGTTACCGGCGTCACTAGTAGTAGCCGTGTCATGTTTGCCATCGTGATGAAAGGATTTGCCAATGGGCGTAAGGTATTTGCCGATTGTTGCCCAAGATTTGCCCAAGATAGCGTCATTGCGAGAAGGGTCCTTTCGTGCACCGAATTGGTATGGTAGCCCAGTTCTGTCAGAAAGCACCCTGAAAGCCTTGTTATACAGAATATTCATAGCGCTACATGCCCTCCGTGTGTAACTTGATTCACAGGCTGCACGTGTAGAAAGACTTTTAAAAAGCTTTGAAAATATTCGTCTTAACCTCTTTAATAAAGATATAAGTATATGAATAAATTAGCTCTCCATGCTCCCATTGATTTGTAGCGAAGCGTAAGTTAGTGAAATAAGTAAATAAAAATAAAAATAAAAATTTCATGCATCATCTTTCTTTTACTCTCGTTCATATGTTTTTATCACCGTTTCCTATTTCCTGCTTTGTTTTTGTTTATCCAATTTCAAGGGCAGTTCTACATCAATAGAATTATACTTTTAAATAATTTTAGTTGGGAAATGATGATTTAGAAACTAAAGTAGGTACTGACGAATATTTCACGGCTTTCAAAAAAATGGACAGACAGGGACAGTATGGGGAAATCAGAAAGTATAGGAGATACAGGAAAACTGTCTTAAGAACCATTTAGTATTTATTGTGAAAACAATTTTGGCATAGGAATTTTTTTTGTTCAAGTGTCAGTTGTTCATAAAAATGAATAAAATTGATTAAATTTTTATATCATCCTTACATGAAACCGAGTAGATCTCTTCTTCTGCGGTGTGCCAGTGCTAGTGACGTTTCTGGGCACCGGCGTGGCGCTAGTGCCCTTGTCAGCTGAGGATTTCTCTTTCTTTTCCTCTTCTTCTTCTTCTTTTCTACCGTGACCCAGTTTTCTTGGGCTACGGAGGCAGCCTCTGCTGCTGGGGAGGCATCCCAGCTTGCACTGGTCCAGGCACTGGCTTTCCTTGGCCACTGTTCGGCTTGGACACCACTGCGGGCACCACTGACTCTCGGGCTGGTCGGTTTGGAGGCTTGGGCTTCGCCGGCGGTTTCACGGGCCGTTTGGAGGCTTGGGCTTCGCCGGCGGTTTCACGGGCCGTCTACCGATGGAGAGAGGACCATGGTTGGCCTAGCCTCATCCGCATCGGCTGTTCAGCCGCCAGAGGGGGGCGATGGACTACCAGAGGAATCCTCGATCGCCTCAAGATGGGCGTGCACCATTGTGCCAACCGATATGATTGTCGAGCGCTTCAGATCGTCCAGCATGTCCCCATCCAATAATGGCGGTCGAAGTGATGCTTTCGCGGAGGTCTCCAGCATAGAAGCTCGCATGGTGACCCGCATGTCTTGGAACTCGCGCATGTGCGCGGCAAAGTCGGCTTTGAGATTTTCGACCTCCTTCTTGAGCCGACCGTTGTCTGCTCTGACACGACGTGCCTCCTCCGACTCCGTCCGCGTTGCCAAGGCTTCTACGGCCTCTTACAAGGCAGTCGCTGCTTCCTTTAGTCTTTTGACAAAGGTTCCCTTCAGTGAACAGGTTTTTTGGGCAACCTCAAAGATAGCGGCCACCTTCCTGCCAGCGTGGGCCCACATCTCTTCCACGGAAAACGTCGTTGGGTTTTGAGAACTGGAGTCATCTTTCGATAGGCCCCGCAACGCAGTTCTCGCTAAATGGGTTGTTCCGCCATTTTCTCCCTGCGGAGAAGAGCCGTAGCCACGCGAAGGTTGACAGCTGGGTTGGCGCTCTTGCCAATCTTGCCAGTATGGCCCCTTCCTCGGCGTACCGTGCTTACTTTCGCGGGAGTGCTTGCCTTTTTGGTAAGGCTGCCCTTCCGCGGCATCGTCAGCGTCCTCTTACGGGTCGTAACGCTGTTCTGCTACCTTCGTCATTAGCGATGACAGACGCTTCCTTAGCGCCCATCACCACTATCTGTTCGTCACCGGTATCGTTAGCAAGTTCCGAGTCCATTTGTCGTATGCGTTCGTCGTGTTTACGAGGATCGACTTCCAGTCGACCCACGAAGCTGTTTTTACCCCAAGAGTACGAGGGGCTGCTACCCGTACAAGCGGATGGGCGGGATTCCGCCTTTCGTGGACCCGCCTGGGGACCATTTTCAAAACGAGCCTTTTCCATGATTGCTTTGGAAGGGGGTGAGCTCCCTACTGGGGGCGCCCTATCGACTGGATACTCTCCAGCCATCCATCCCGTCGCCGGGCGCCAGAACTTAGGATTGAGGTAATTTTTATAGAGGTTTTCTTCCTCGCGGCCCTCGTCTCAATGAGAAGGACCCCCGAACCCACTCAATGTGGAATTACGGGCTGGCCGGAGCCGGTCTTGTGACCAAACACCGCCTACCGTCTCGGTTACGAACCTACGCTATCTTCCCCCCTCCCAGTGCTGGTTTGGGTCCGCGCCAGCTGAAGCCGGTAGCTCCCATATCTGGGGAGCCGTTCCTCTATCCGCCACCTGGGGACGCGTCCGATGGCAGACCAGCAACTGCGCACGGATTTTCTTTTAAATCTAACTTAACTTAACCGAACCTAATCGTGTCTGCGATAAACATCCAACATATCCTGAAAGAACAACGGTTTCGTTATAATTCGGTTTTCAGGGTAATGAAAATTCGAACAAACATTATTTCGAAACAAATAAATTCGAGTTTGTGATAGGTTACTCGTTCTTCGTCCGACATGCCTCCGAAACAAATACTGTCAAAGCTTCATACTTGGCATTGTATTTTAAAATGGTCGAGTTTTACTTATTTGACAGTAATTGTTTTGCACGGATGTCGGTACGAATAACGAGCGTACAGGGCCTGAATGCTAATCAAGAACAACCGCTCTATCAATTGAGCTACAGCTTCCTGCAATTCCCGATTGTGTCTGTACGTGTGCTAACGACGGCTGATCCTGATGTAGAAACAACAGGCGCGACAGCTCGAAAACAGCCGAGTCGACGGCGAATCAGCTTAATGCGACAAATGTGGTTAAACATGATCGCGTGAAGACGATTTTACGTTCATATGTTTGGTGACTCCCCGATAAAGAAAATCAATAATATATCATTTGATTTCAGTAGGTAATAATACATACTTACTCCAGAACTTATACTTTTATTTACTCATTGGTTGCACGTGTAATGTCCTTTTCCCTAATTAAATAATTAAATTAATTAATAGTCAGGAGACATGAACAGCCTTTATGTAAGCGTGTTAACAGAATAAAATTCTATTAGTCTAATTAAAACCGTTTTGGTATTGCTACGTCACTTTCTATGTAGTTTCGAATGAAGCTTTCGCGGGATTAGTCCCTTGTTTGTTGTTGTGAATATTATTTGCCAAAAATGGAGTAAGTACCATGACTTTAAAGCTACAAAGAAGCTTCGATTAACAGTGTATCGATTTTTGCCCTTTCATTTGATTTTTTTTTATTATAGCTAGAGTAGAAACTTAAAAATAAAAAAGTATTATCTACATTTCTTGTTATTTAGAGAAAAGAACGAAGTTGTCAAAGTGTACGGCGATGTGTGCTTGAGGAAACAAAGGAGGAGAAGACAAAAGCTGCTCTTAATAGAATTATTTGTGGATTATGCTCAGAATTCCACTCTTCATGGTCTTCGATACATCGCTGAGAGAGGACTTCATTTCTTTGAAAAGTATTATCAACACTTCTTTATTGTCTTTAATATAAAATGTGATAATAAAAGTTACATTTTATTTTCATGCAATAGGTTTGAACGTAATATTTTCTATTCGCGGGCGTTCATTTGTACGCAATAGCATCATGTTTGCTGAAAAAGAACGCCTTGACGAAAATGAATCGATTTCAATTTAATTTTCATGACTTTGATTTTATTGATACGGTAAATGTTTCAGGGTGTTTTGGATTGTGACATTTATTTTTAGTTGCGTACTTTGTTTTCTTTTAATTAACAACGTTTGGGTGAAATGGAAGACTAGTCCAGTAATAGTCAGTTTCAGCGAAGAAGTTATATCTGTTGCAAAGGTAATTTCTTGATTTTTTAAATACTTCATTGTATTTGAGCCGATGACCGTTTCTGGGTCTCTAAACCTACCAAATAGTAGAGTAATCGCGATTTCATCTTTATCTGAGGTTTAAGACATTGTCACTAACAATTACAAGTAAATTCTATTACATGATATCACAGCGAAATATAAATATTTTTTCAAAACGTCGTCCTTGTATGACAATAGATCAACTACCAAATAATAAAGTTTTATTCAAGTATAACAACAGATGACATGATCTCAAGAGCTAAAGATATGTGCAACCGCAGAATAAATGTACTCGCTGACGTCTGCTGCTGTATTAGAGCTTTATTCTACAAGAAACGAGAATTTATTAGTAATGTGTATGTTTATTATTCTTTTACTAATATGGTGTGTTTTATATTGTTTTAATATATTCTTTATTTTTATATAGAAAAATAAATTCAGGCGAAAATTCCATTACTCAAAATTCGAAGTACTTATTTCAATTCAGTTTTTTTAATGTGATAATTATATTATTTAGCGTATTGCCAAATATTATAATTCAGATTTTTATTGATAGAAAAAGAGATAGACTCACAATTGATCACTATCTCATCTAAGGGATATTAAAAATTTTATAATTTTTACAGTCTTCCAATAATTCATTGCTAAATTGCATTTTATAACAAATAAAATAACTAATATGCAAAATTTTTTATAATGGTTATGGCATATGCATTATTTCCTTTTAGTTTATTAAATACGTATTTTAAGGTCATTTGGACACGTTTCAGGTGCCTTTTCCTTCGGTAACCATTTGTCCAGAAATGAAAGTTGATAGTAGTAAGTTCAACTATACGGGAACGTTATCCCAAATACTCAAAGAAAATGCGTAAGTTTTGTAATTTTCATTTAATTTTTTTTTGTACGATTTTTCACACTGTGTATAAATAATAAAGAATGCTTTTATTATTAATTATGAATTAATTTTCAATGTTGCAATAAAATTCTACCGAGTATTATATCCTCCAAGCCTTCCATGGGACTTTTTAGACGAAATTTAGAACAAAAAATATTAAAAATAATAATAATGTGTCTACAATTACATTAACAACCTTGTCGCAAAATATGGATTTTACTGTAGTATGAATAATACAAGTATAAAAAATTACTGCAACGGCAGCATAAGCGTTTATTTTATTTCAGTACTCAGGAGGAAATTCAAATTTTACAGGCCGTAAGCTTAGTTTGCGGTGAAGTAAACGAAATACAGTTTATGATCGGCAACTTGACAAGCTCAGAAGACTTCACCAATTCGTCACTAGTACAGAATTTGTTTAAAGTAAGTGAATTGAATATTTTGTCCGGCGTAAAATTCGTTTCAGGGCATATACATAAATTGATAAATGAATAACGATTATGCCATTATTCAACATACCAGACATCGTCCCAGAACTTTTTGATTTCAAGAAAATTTCAAATTGAACATACTCACAAACTTGATAAAATGTAGCATTTTAGAATTTGCTACATTATAAATTGAAGCAATAGTAGGAGAGATACGAATGTCTTTTAATTAGAATTTAAGAAAAGGAGTACCCTATTTCTTGCCTAAATTTTTACAGGTAGCTCCTGACGTGAATGAAGTATTTGAATATTGCATATGGCGCGGAAAGAACATGCCATGTGAAAACATGTTTAAAGTTGCTTTAACGACTGAAGGTGTGTGCTACAATTTCAATGCACTAGCGGTTACAGAAATGTTCACTGACAGGTGATTTTTTTTTCTTTAACGAAAAGTATAAAATATATATTTTCCCACACACAGGTTTCGTTTTTAAGAAAATGATGTTCCAAACTAAGTAATTGTATTAAATTTTTTTGTGGAAGCACTGGTTGTACAGTAACTATATATACATATAATAATAATAACAGTCCCAGAAAGCATACACATTACCTAGTATCAAACAACGAAGTTTCTGTGGTACTATGAGTACTAGAATAATGAAATTAACTTTGTGACACTGCCCAGAACACCCAGACTAGGAGCGTTTTAGAAAAATTTGTTTACTACGTAGTTACTACCTGCAATCGAACCCAGGACCTCCATAACTAGCGCTCAAAATATTAATGGGCCATAGAGATATAAATTCCACTTATCCCAACCAGTGATGGTGTGGTAGGGAAGAGTGAAAAAAACCCACTTGTCTCTACTAGGGGGGACAGCTGGTAGGAACTAGTGGAATAGACCAAATGTGTAATAGCAGTAAATTATAATGTGGTAATCCCGAAAGCGAATTCTATTTTCCAGAATGCAAAAGGATTACCCAATCCTGAATACTACAGAAATCAGTAGGAACTGGACGGTCACAGAAGGATATACTAATACTGACGAACACCCATATCCAAGACGAGGAAGGGTATGTTTTATTCTTTAATCCGATTCACTGTAAGGCATTTGCTATATACTTTTGTTTGGTGTGAAGATGATGAGTCTGAAATTTTGATTTGATGATTGTTGTAGGAAAATGGACCATCACCGGATTTAGTAATACTATTGCAGGAAGCTAAGAAGTTTAGGGGTAGTGGATGTAATAGTGCGAGAAACGGTTTCAAGGTAAATGCAAGTGTGTCTAGTTTGCAGATTTTTGTCACTGACGACTTGAACATAATTAGTATTAAAATTCATAGATATTCTTGCAAAATCCTGAGGACTTACCGCAAAGTTCGCATTACTATTACGCGGCTGTGCCGAGGCAAGTTTCATCGATTGCAGTCAAATTTAGCATGTTAAACACATCTGAAACATTACGAGGATACGATCCAGAAGTGTAAGTAATAATTGTAGTCAATTCATAAATTTATGAGCAAAGCAGTCAAATTTGTTAACGTTTCACACCTTCTCTTAATTTGAATTAATTGGTACGTTTTTCAGGAGACAATGCTATTTTCCTGAGGACTACAAGCTCGATTATTTTGAAGTTTATACTCCGAGCAATTGTCGTTTGGAATGCCAGTCCGAGTACATGTTTAGAAAGTGTGGATGTGTATGGTTCAATATGCCCCGTAAGTCTCCGTGATGCTTGATTATAAGGAATTTTAACAAAAATCTTTTTTAGGTCTTTGTGTCTAGTAAGAAATCTGTGTTATGTAGACCTTATAAATAACATATTACATCAAAATATTTTTGAGAATATTTTACACAATTATTAAATATTAATAGGTGAATCGTGGTAACTTTTGAAAGTCTTATAAATAGGTACGGTTAATGTCCACCTATATATTAATTGTTAAGAAATATTTAAATAAAAAAAAACTTGCGATAGAAATGCGTAAATTTCAAAGGTTAAAGCCCTACGTGCTGTTGAATATAAAATATGGAAAACTAACTCATTTTATCTCTTTGCATAGATGTTAAAGGCACACCAATTTGCACTGGAAAAATGTGGTCATGTGTAAATGACGCGCTAGGTAAGGCAATCATATATATTTTGAAATCAAGAATAGCTTTCTCAGAAGTCATTCGCATTAAATTTTCAGATGTTATTTATTTTTATAAAAAAATAGGTGCGCCTTTGTTTTCCATCTCACCTGATGTAAAGTGACGATGAGGAGCATGTGCATCTAAATCATAGGTTCCCAAACTTTTTGGCTTACTGCCCAATTAGCCAAGATAAAAAAATTTCATCGCCTATCACTACAAAAAATAACTGAATACACGTATTTTTAAGTTAACAAAGTTAACACTAAAAATCACAAGGAAAAGAAAATATACATATATTGTAGTTTATATGTATTTTTTTTTAATGCTCAAAAAAAAAAGGTGCTATCCCCTGGACAGCAACAATGCCCCCAATTGTTTCTGAAGCCCCGGTTCTCAGGACTCGTCAGCGCCCACAGGGAAGGCGGTAGGGTAGGGTAGGCCGAAGTGTCGTGTGAATATTCGAACGATTCGCACGAAACGTTTCGCTTCCACACTTATATAGCGTTCAGGGAATAAGTCTGCACGCTGCGAATTCCACTTCATAGCCGTTCGCCTCCATAGGCATCCCCAATCAGAGACCGCCTTGAGTGCCAAGTCCAAACGACAATGGATTTCTTCTCCACTGACTCTTGCATTGGTCAAGTACCTGTATACAACTGTGCTGTTAGCAGCATATCCGAAGGTACCCGGAGTTAGCATATCGTTGATATGCAGCAGACAGAGATTGCGTACATTACGGAATCTTGAGGAAATCTATCGCCCGATGTTCGGAAGAGTAGCCTTCTAAGGTCACTCGAATTGAACGTTCGCTCAAGAAATCCGATTGATTGATATTCGTTTGATGTTTCATCTTGGCTTTACACGATTCATACCGTACTTACGCTGGTGATACTAATTGTTCAGCACGAGCCGGACGTTCTGTGTGAATATATTTATGTATAATTAAATACATATTTGTTTCGTCGTTTGATTAATTTTGTATAAATGGGTGACGGCTTAAGTAAGTCGCTTTGTGTATAAAGCTGCAATCCGCTGTAACTGCCATGGCAGTTTGATAGCAGCATTTATTTATCATTCCCCTTTAGCACAAATAATAATAATAATACGTAAAGTAAAATATAAATATAATAAAAAGTAAATATAGTACGTCCAGCGGTAGTTTATGTTTTAATTTTACCTTTGTTTCTTTTAGATGAATTGGCGGTGGGGGAACTGAAAGCCGATCTCGGGCTTCCCAATAATGGTAAAGCCTGTCGCTGTCTTCCGTCTTGCTATAGTATTCAGTACGATGCTGAAATATTAAAGACAAGTTTTGATGTGCAGAACTACTTTAAACATTTGGAGGCTTTAATGGAGTTTCACTTTCCATGGATAAATGAGTGAGTATTCCTATCATGGGAGTTCGTGTTGTTTCAATGACTATTAGAATAAAAAATAATCTGAAATAGACTTCTTTCGTGATTTTCTGAATACTTTGAAGACATAATGTAAAAAATGTTTACTATATAATATAATTACATAAGATTTTCGTAAATAAATTTGGTAACTACCTTACATTATTTTTGTATTATAAGTAGTTACGATTAATGCAGTTCTCGGGGCAGCCTTTCTATTACTGTTTGGTTGACGTTTTTTTTAACGTTGTCTGTCCATTTGAATGCCGTATTGCTCATAAAGTTGCATTTAGTCTGTACTTTTAGTTACTGCTAGATGATAATAGATACATTTATGGCTGTTAACTCTGCACTACATTTTTCATATTTAATGTATAAAGTTTTAGTTACAAGTTCAACAATATAATAATATTAGTTATAATAACTGTGTATAGAGAATTATGTTATTTATATTTCCCAGAGTTTTTGTCTATTAGTAACTTAGTAGACAAGAATTAGTAAGTTTCATAGAAAGTCCCGTTTTAGCAATTATCTTATGTACGACGAACCGAGTAAAAGTGGTTGACCATTTATGTTGGTTCACATAAATAAATAAATAACAAAAGATTTTATTTTATCTTTTAGTTATGAACATTCAAGGGTTGAAATATACTTCAAAGAACCAAGGTTTGTGTCGATGCGACGTTCAGAATTGTTTGGATTAACAGATTTCCTGGCCAACGTTGGTGGTTTACTTGGTCTTTTCCTGGGTTTCTCTTTGCTAAGTCTTGTGGAAATTGTCTATTTTGTCACTTTGCGGTAAGTTGCACCTAATGAAATAAGTAACAACATTTTTCGTATTCGTATATAATAGAAACAAATGCTTGCTTGTATTCAAATGTTTCCTGTTAGCCTGATTTCACCCATAGCCGGATATAGGCCTTCCAAAGTTTGTGACATCCACCACGTGGAGGATGGTGGGTGGACAAATGCTTACATGTAATAATTTATAATAACAATGACACAACCACACCAACTACCCGGTCTCAAACTAGGAAACGTTCAATTCTGTGTGTACAATGAAATTATGTCCAGGATGCTACCGGCAACAACCAGACTGGAACTGATTTAGAAAAGTTCATTTCACAAATCAGTCTTACCTGTAATCGAGTTCGGGATCTCCTCAGCAAGCGCTTATAATGCTAATAGTTTACTGAGATCCTTTTGATTATTCGTGTGGATTAACATTGTTGAATTGTTAATACTGCATTATTTGGGTTTATATAAATATTTGGACACCTTTGAGCACATCATTTATAATCCTTTATGACTCGGTAAAACATTATCTTTAACACAATACTTTTTTCCAGTTTATGCTGCATTTTTAAACGTGATTTAAGACAAGAAAAATCCAATTTTGAAGTGAAAGACGAAAAACTTTCTTAAGCATTTTAAAAAAAGTTTGTAATTAAGTTATTTATAAACTTTTTTCTTGTATGTTATACACATAATGATTAGCACCTTAATACTTAAAACAATTAAAATAATTTTAGAATAATTTCTTAAAGTTAAGTACTTATTTATATGTTAATTCATTAAATCATATAATTGAATAATTTATTGTTGTGTTGTGTCAAAGTTATTTACGAGTACCTACAATTTTTTCCAAAATTTCACCAAGTTTAAGTATATGTTAAAAGCTTGAAACATATTATTTGGTAGATATTACAAATTCATTTATTGCACATATTTTATATTTTAAATTCACATTGTTTTTTAAAAAGGGCAAAAAGTTCTAAATAATGTCTTCTTGCTGCCATCTTTTAAAGAGCAGTAGGGACTAATGTTATTCGAATCCTTCCAATCCCTGTACCGTTCGAAGCACGTTCGAACCAAAGTATAGAAGCAAACCACTTTTTCAATCAAAACTTATCAAAGGCCACGGAACATCCATCAATCATTCACTCATTACAAGTAATCGCTATAAAAAATCAACAACAAAGTGGGTAATAAAAGACGGACAGACGTACCTCGAGGCGGCTTCAACGTATAATTTAATATGAAAACCACAACGCCGCTGCCCATTACGAGCCAGCTTTGTGATTACACTGACGTTATTATGAGAGGAAATTGCCCTGTCGGTCTGTCTGTGATGATTCTCTTAAATGGCGGTTGCAAATCAATTCTTATTAACACTGGGTTTGCTGGTAATCCTAGTGTTCTTTGGTTAGCATTTAGCCGTGGTAGAATGAAACTATAGATATAGAAAAATAAAATTGATCAAACCTGATCCATACCCTTTAATTTATATAAATTAAAAAATAATTTCGTAAGATCTGTTGACTCGGGTTATAGCTAAGTTGGTAAGAGCAGTAGCGCCGGTGTGGCAACACTGGTGTACAACAACAAACTTGTGGAATAATATAGCAATAGTAAGTGGAGTATTTAAAAAAAATGGATAACATGACTCGAAAGATTTTTTCTTTTTCTTTGTACGATCCTTGTAAAAATAATGACAACACACTAATGGAGTATTTTCACAAAAAATATATGAATATTATGGTAGTAAATATATCATGATATAGCTAGACAAATTTCATGTGTTGGAGTTCATAGGTTTTTGCGATTACTACTCATTGGAAACGAAACTATTAAGTAATGAGCCTGAAACGGTTTGTTTGAAAAAAAAATGCGATTTTAGACTTCCAAAAGGCGTTTTATTTTTATATTTCATATTAATACGTAAAAACGACTTTTTTCCGCACGATATTAAATAAAGCTATGCTGAACATTTAGCAACAATATCTCTAGAAAACGATGAAGGAAAAACATCGTAATGAAATTGCATGTTAGAGATCATAACCCTCGAAAAACATGTGAAGTCCTCAGTTCGCATTGGGACAACCCTCTTCTTTTTAGAACTTTGTGTACAGCAATATGATATAAAATAAGGATATGTGATGTTCTTGATTTAATGATGATTTTAGCTTATAATCGTGAGGAGTTTATTTTATTTTCCATTTCACTGTATTGAAGTTAATAAAAATGTACATGTTGAATATATTTCTATATTAATATTACTAGTTCAACCTCCTAAAACACAGCAAACTTTAAAATTACATGCTTCAGTCCAAGATAATTTTTATACGAAAAACGTATTTTTCTGGAAACCTTTGATCATTTATAGTCCATACTGCGTTAAATTTGAACGTGATTTCGTTAC